TTCATAGGCTCTGACTTTAAAATGGCGTTTGGTTTTTGCCAATATAGGAGGCCTTACAGTCTCCACACGTGTAAAGATAGACAAGCCATGAACAATAAGGAATGGGGAGGAGATCTTTAATAGGGAGGAAATTTTTTATGCGTGATGTGGATTTAAAAACTAATCTTAAATCCACTTGAGGGTAGTAACGACCAAGTATGCGTTTAAGTTGATTTTTTAAATTTAAGCTTTGTTTGCCAGTATAAGGAAGACACGAGTATATAGTAAATTTAAGTACATTTAGTATTTTAATTGGATTTGTGAGTTTCTTTGTTAGGAAGGTGTTGGTAATGTTTTCCAATAAGTGTTGTGGATAGCAGTTACGTTTCAGGATGTCATGTAAGAACGAAATTTCAGAGTGTAGATTAAGATATGTGGAGCACAGGTTGTAAGCTCTGTTTAGTAAGCATGTAACAAGGTTTCGTTTATACATAAACGCGATAAAGCTATCAAAGTGTGTAAGGAGACCAGTGGACATCTTTTTTCGGTAAATTGATGTGGAAAATCCATTAGCATTACGGTTAATGAGCATGTCTAAAAAAGGTAAATTATTATTTTCAACGTCACATGTAAATTTAATGGCAGGATGTTGTGAGTTAAGATATTCTACAAATTTGATCACTGTTATTAAAAAGAATAAAAGTATCATCCACATACCTTCTGTATAGAACAGCCCTAAAGTTAACTGGACAAGTGTCAAGCCATTTCTGTTCGTAATGAGAGAGAAATGCATTAGCTAAAGTTGGACCTAGTGGAGAGCCCATCACAACACCATCTATTTGTTCATGCAAGGTGTTGTTGAACAGGAAATGTGAATTTTTAGTGGTAAGATCCAGCATGGTCTTAATTTGATTCTCAGAAAAGCCATTTAGAGGAATGTTATTACATGAAAGCTCAGATATGCATATGTTAATGGTTTCATTTAAGGGAATATTTGTAAAGAGGGAAGTAACATCAAAGCTCGCCATGAAGAGATTATCTGAGGGGGGTAGTTGACTTAATTCACGTTCAAAGTGGAAGGAATCCGGGATAGTATATTCATTAGTAGTGAGTGGCTGAAGTATAGGTACAAGGAATTTAGCAAGTTTGTAACCAGGTGTGCCTATAGTGGAAAGAATGGGTCGGAGGGGGGAACCTGTTTTATGAATTTTGGGAAGGCCGTATAACATACCAGGACGGGAGCCAGTGGAATAAAGCGAAGAAGCAACATTTTCAGATATAATATTTTTGTTCTTTAGTTCTCTTATGTATCTTTGGATTTTTACCTCACTTTGGATGCTAACAGATAAAGGGTCATTGTTTAAGGTTTTAAATTTTGTAGAATCGTCCAGAATATCATGCATTTTATTAAGGTAGTCATTCTTGTTCAGAATAACAATGGCATTGCCTTTATCAGGGCACGTAACATGGATGTTTTTATTTATTGACAATTCTTTTAAGGCTAAGATTTCGTCAGGGGTTAGAGGGTTGGGTTCTCTCTTACTATTAAAATTATAAAATGTAGATAGAGCAAGATTTTTTAATTTAGTAATAAAAAAATCATGGGATTGATTAAGATTGCCTTTATCGTACATGGGAAGTCTTTCAGATTTCTGTATAGCAGTTCGAATGGATCTATCTATATCTTAATTCAAACTACATTGC